ATGACATATCAAAATACAAATGATATGAATATTTGTTTATGTAATGCATGTGTATGCATAAGAAAATACTTTCATACCACGAACTATGCGATAGAAATTCCAATGGCATCGCTTCACGCACCAAATTCATCGCTTTTGTCACATCCGTTTGTGCCAGTAGAAGAGACCGTTCAGCCGTAGCGATTTTACGTTGACGTCGTTTTTCAGCAAGGTTGCGTGTAGATTTCTGTCGAGACACTGCATCGTGAATATCGTTTGATGATGATGATGATTCTGATAATGTACACAACAATCTTGGCGGTAAATCAGGCCAATATTTACTGCCTCTACTTGATGGAGATTTAAATTCGCCGAATTCAATGAAATCTCCTCCTATATTTTCATGACAATGTATTTCTTTCTGTAAGCTTTCCCATATCTGTTCTACAACAAACCTTTCTTGCAATATTCGTTCCAAGCAATATCATTGTGTGTTATTTGATAATTACAATGAACACCTATAATGAAAACAACATTGCTTTACTGAAGAATGACATACAACCATAACAATTATTACCAGCTATATCATCCAAAAACCATGACTTTTTGTTGATTTTCTCTTTGGCTATAATTTGCACATGAAGATGTGTTTTATTGTTCGTTGTATTTTTCTCTGATGCCACACAGACATATTGAAGTCGTTCGTCTCGGAATTGACGACGAATTTCTTCGAGTATTGTTTGTTCTTAAAAATATGTATTCCAATTTGACTTAATGAAATGAATACTAATTAGGAAGAAAATATATATCTTACTAGATACATCGGACCAACATGTTATAGCCCATGCTTTACATTGCATTCGTTTTTTATTTGTTTCTCTTCGATGCTCATTATCGATTCCATTCCAATCAAAATTATCTTCTTGTGAAATGGATGCAGCATCTAATAGGATTAAAAAAAAACAGAAAACAAAAACAAAATAACTCGAGGAATATTTGTTTTGATGAGAATTGAAAAATAATAAAAATCGTACCTAAATGACCATATTCAGCGAAAGGACGATCATGATCATGAACCATTCCCGTACGTTCGACTGGTGGATATGGTCGATGATGATTAGAAATGTTTGGATTCGAGTATGTTTCCATAGCTTCACTGTTATTAGCAAATTTTGTACTTTTCAAAGCATAATCAAGCCTAGCTATAATTGCTTGAGAAATAATCGGTTGATCTTCATCAGAAACATATGTAGAATCGACATCATTATACTGTTGAGTTGATGTAACGATTTTAGCAAAGTGATCTGTTTCCATTGCCAATGTTACTTTTTTCAAATCATGATCATTGAAACAATCATCCTCATCGGGTGTATCAGAATCATATTCCAGATGTGAAAGTCCCTTTGGTTGAAAAAATCGTGGACATCGGTCAGTTGGAGGTGATTGACTTAGATGAATTTGATCAATATTGTATTGATGCATATTTTTATCATTATTCGGAACTACAATAGGACCTTAATAAGAGAATAAAAAAGCAAATATCGAATACTTATGAAAGACTATGAATAATTTATAAGTCATTATTGGCATACTTTGTTCAATAGATTCTTTTTGTTTGCTATCAGAAACATGTTTGGTAGAAGACAAAGCCATAGAAACCAAAGACAAAATAGTTAATATTTATGTTAAATCTGAGTTAAATTTGATATGCTACTTGAACAAAATGAGAAAAGATTCTGAAAAGATGTTTCGACAAATATATAAATATTTCGATAGACAAGTATCAAACAAACGAAAGAGAAATTGAATTATAAACGAGCTTCATAAATCTTCTTGTATACAAACAGAAGAGAAAAATTTCAATAGCTTAATTATTAGTTGATACTATTAAGGACTTCTTTAATGATTTGAGTATATTCATGTATACAAAACAAAAAAAAACAATGAAGAAAAACATGAATAAAAGAATAGAAGTTCATGGATTACTAGACCAATGGAATGGATTCTTTTTTCTTTTGAGAATCCATCGTAGATTCTAAATGGAAACACTTGTGTTGTGTTGTGTTGTTGTTGTTGTAGCAAGAGCTCGAAACGTTAATATCACTCGATGTACTACCATTCGAATATGAAAACCAGTATTAGACTTTAAACGAACGTGAATGAAATAGAAAATGGAAAACGAAAAGAAATATCAATGTCAAACTAGTCCTTCGTTGAGAAACAATATGTTCTTTTATGTGTTCTACTAGTTGAAAAGGTTTGTTATCTCACAGTAGACAACGGTCTTGAAAAACAAAATGACGTCTCTCGGTCCACTCGTTAGATGTTCTTTGAAGACAGGGCCGAATTGTTCTTTTTTATCATAGTTGGTTTCTGGCGATCATGGAGTAATTCAAGGAACACAAAAAAGTTTTCAATTTGAAAAAAGTTTTTGATTAGCTCTTATCAGTGACTCTAAAGTTCAATTCAAAGGGAATAAATAGTCAAATGATTATATATCATAAGCGAGTGAAGATGATGTAACTTGACAGATCGAAAATTATAAGTTATTTACGATCATGAAATTGTCAAATGAAATGAAAACAAAAAATACAAATGCTTACGAGCTTCTATAACCTTTCACTCACAACTAAAAGATAAGATTCATTGAAGAATGACTCGCGACTGGTTTCAGTTGTGTGTGTGTAAGAAGATCATGAAAGACAGAGGAATTGATCCGCTTGACGTGTGTTGTTACATGAGTGTGTCGTACGAACTTCAATCTTGAATCAAGTGTAATTCTATGTAAGTTCATCAATACTTTCAACTATATCGAAGAACTAATGAGATAACACATTATACGGAATGGTCTTTCAAGTTTTTCACAATTGAATTGTTTTTTTTTTCATCTGGTTGTAAAACTACTATACTTATTTTGATCGACTATCATCAAATGTAGCTGTCTAGCTAGACTGCTAAGTCAGTATTCGATGACTTGTAGTAAAATTGGCGTCTTTGTTAGTATTTGGCACACCACTATTAATAGGATTTTTTGATTGAGATCAAACATTTATCAAAACAAAAAGAAGTTTGAGGACAACATTCATTAGATAAAACTTTGAAAACTTCTTAAAAAATTTGTTGTTGTTCTCAATAAAATGACCATTAGATTACTCTTGTACAGCTATTTTCTTGCAACGTATCTATGTTTTTGTGTATATTTGTTATTTATGTTGTACACGAGTCAATGACGATAAATAAGATTATATCATGATAATCTAGAAAGGTTTCAAAAAATATATATCAAAGAACAAAATCAAAAAGAAAAGCAGCAATGTTGCTTATAGAAAGTTTTTACATTTGCAAAAAAACAAAAAGAACAAACGAAACAAAAATATCTTCTTCATAACAAAAACTTTCATAATACATATTTCAGAAAAAAAAACAAATGTTCATAATAACTCTTGGATCTTCTTTCCACATGGTCTCAAAAATCTCGTGTACTATTATTATTATCCTCTTCTCTATTGTCTTTGCACCATTCTTGTGAAATATTGACAAATTCAGTAGTATGAGCCATTTCTCCTTCGGTATCTTTCAAGATTTCATTAGCAATGGTTTGTATGTCCGAGCGGGGTTCAGTTTGTGGAGAAGAACAACATGATAGCAAAATAATTTCAGGAGTATTCTCTGTTTCAAGCCAAACAATAGTTGAAGGATCATGCGAAGGTGGTGCTAACCAACGAAGTGACTTGGGTAAATAGAAAACAGTAGGCGAATATGAAGATGGTATAGTTGATTGAACTAATGGAATTGGAACAAAAGTTTCATCAGGCACCATCACATCAGATGAATAATTTGACATAGATGTATGTGTTGAAGAAGAATCAGATGAATGAGTTAAATTAATTACTTTCGGTTCAACGACATTGATAAAGTCTTTTGTTAAACAGGAAAAAACAAAACATTTGCGTATGAACAACTTTCATTAGCCTATCGTTCTCTTCAGCAATCTCACATAAAAGGTCATGGATTTGATCAACATCAGCCGTAATGACGAAAACGAAATATTTAACAGAAAAACTAAATCTAAAATGTACATGAGTCGTATGTTTTACATTAGAGCACACAATTGATTTATTTTGTTGTCAAAAGAAGAAAAAAAAACAATAACGAAATATAGAGTGCATGTACATTAGAAACATTATAAACACTTCAGTAAACAAAACAAAAATGTATGAATACGAATAAGACAATCAACAACAATACAAATAGAAAAAAAGTAAAATAAAAACGAAAGAAATTTAACCTCATACCTTAATCGAATCAGTTTTCATAATTCCCATCCACTGAAACACTCAACATATACACTAATAAGTTCTTGATCCTGCTCTGTCCCGTGGGATAGCCACTTCAGACAGCCACAGTGACCTGACGCACATCTATCCTATTCTATAAAATGATCATTCATACGATGATCCTGTTGCGTAACTCAAAGCTCAACCCCAAGGGGAAAAAGGGAGAGAAGAGATGTAATACCATAGCGATGAGACAAGCAAAAGCTGTCTCAATGCACAGGAGAAGGGTCTACCAGCCTAGTGGTATTCTCCGGAAAGCACATCGACTTTTACATCGTCGCTATGGTTTACAAAGAGTAAAAGACAAAACAAAATATTGGAGTCTTAGAAATCCAAATCAAAAGTTTATTTTTTGAAAATATGTTTTTGTATGTTCTATTATTATTTGAATAAGTAGAACTTATTTCAAACAAATCACGAAACCAGAAAATATTCTTTTTGAGTGTATGGTAAAAGTCTGAGAGAAATCCCTAACTAAAACAATAGCATACCTGTGGAAGATAATTTCTTATAATTATTAATTAATGTTGTAAGCATCAGTCATTTTCTAATCATCGTTGTCGTTGTTGTTGAGCTTTTTAAAAAATGAACAGATTAACAAAAGAACAAGCCTTTATATAGGTCATACAATAAGTACGACACGTTTACTACGACACTCTTACTATGACACTCTTACTACGACACTCTTACTACGACATGTTTACTACGACCCTCTTACTACGACACTCTTACTACGACACGTTTATTACGACACTCTTACTACGACACGTTTACTAGGACACGTTTACTAGGACACTCTTACTACGACACGTTTACTACAACTCGATTACTACGACACTCTTAGGACGACACGTTTACTACGACATAAGATACCTTTGCTATGACACACTTACTACGACATGCTTACTAGAACATAATATATCTTTGCTACGGCACACTTAGTATCATATATGACACCCTTAGTAGGACATATTCGCTATGAAATACTTATTAAGACATGCGTACCACGACATATTCACTATCACATATACACAATTCCATACGACACACATGATTTGATACAATTACTATGATATTCCTACTAAGGCATAGTTGCTACGAGGCAGCTGCCATAACATACTTGCGGACACATGAGGCCTGTGACATATCTCCTACGACCTATAACATATGATCAGCAACAAAGTACAATATGTAACGTATAAGACAAGGTCTATAAGAAAAGAGACAATCATTATGACGGATCTGCAGAGACAAAGCAACTCAATCAAATGTATACAACAGAAGACAGATAAGAATTTGTGTCCTGGTATATGTGATATGATAGAAAAGGAAACATGTAGGCGATGCAATAGATTCATGAAAGTTTTATAAATATCTCAAATACGAGTTTACAGACAAGCTAACAGGGATAACATATAAAATACTATGTTGCATGGAGATGGGAATGGATACAATATACGGTACATGATGTATAACATGGTGACATATATTAGATTAGACATGACAGACAAACTACGATTGGAGAGATTGAACACATTAGCTGGATCCTTGTTGATGTTTATAGCATTACTAAACTGTAAAATTGTTGCTTCAACTCGGGGTGTGCACATGGAAATATATGATGATCTCAATAATATCAATGCAGATTGTTTTTAAACTCATACTGTCTTATGTAGTATACCAGATCGACATTCTTATGTGTATTAATAGAAGATAGCAACTTTGTTTTGCATTCATATAACGTCTTGTCGTTGGCTAATTCTCTTCTAAATAGTTAAACCACAATGAGAAAACTCGAAATATTATATCTATCATCTTTTACTTATTCACGTTTTACAATCACATAACAAAAGTTCTTTTGTAGTCAAAAAAATGTATATAATAATTTTGCGACTTCTTCGTATATTTATCAATAATCAAATAGTTCACTTATATAAAAATAATAATATTAGAAAAGACGCTTTCAAAATCAAATTCTTAATTCAAAAAGAAAAACAAATCAAACACAAGTATTAGAAAGCAAACGAGATGTGTTATAAGGCCACTGACCACACGAAGAAGAGTCGTCGAATTGTTGCTTTTCAGTCATTTGGGAGTCTTATGATTTTCTTTCTTCTTCTTCTTCTTCTTCTTCTTCCTCTAGACAAATCAGTGCATAATTCAAGTCAGACACTAGTACTCCACTCACAAACATGATTTTGAAATGGAACAAAGCTCGACGTGATCATGAGAACGCGGCACATGTATAACTGAAACCCATTTTTCTAAATTTGGTGATATTCGAAGAATATAAGAAAGGTTAAAAATTGATAAACAATAATGATAGTTTTTTTATATGACAATCAGGATGGCCAGCTAATCGCTACAGTCAACGTGGAAAAATCAGAAAAATCAGAAGTTGACATCGATTGTGACGCCCCACCTGGCCACCCTGATGACAATACATGATTCAATCTTAAAGTGATCATAGGCATTTCAGATATTGCATACATATATGTTTCAAATAATGATCATCTTTTACAATTGAATATTGCATATCATGAAGTGTCGAACTTCTAAGACAACATTCGCTAATGATGGTCAGGATATTGAAATTCGTATGTCACAGTAAAAAATGTTTAGCAACTCTTGATCTCGTTGTATAATGATGGACAATTGAATTTTGTAGCAGCCATTCAAGTTCTACATGCTAAATATCTCTATATTTTAACGACTGGCTTTTATGACTGAAACCTTCCATGGAAGAGTCTATGTTACCGATAGAAATATTGGACATGATAGGTAAGCAGGTGTGAAAAGTAATAAGTTGAATGCTACATTTCGTATAATCAGCCGTCTTATCTACTTGAGGATTAATCGAGTGGCATTCTGGCTCTATTCACAGTGATAGTTAGAGAGTACTTCAAAATTTTATTTTCAAAAATAAACAATAAACAAAACAAAAGAAAAACAGGTTTTTTTTTTTAGTCTATTTTACGATGTTGCATGAAATGGACGCTCTTTTAGGCTTGGTGATATTTGTATGTGAACGCATCTAAGTAACTATAGATAAATAAAAGCTCAATTGAATCGACTATACGAAGAAATTTGCTATCAAACCTTTGGAAGTTGCTTGTGAATAAATTAGGCAAGTATTTTTCCATGTGTGCCATAGCTGCCTTAATATCGTTCTTTGCTAACTGTAAAGCTTGTTCACTAATTATGTCTTCTTGAGATTTAATGACATGAACTGGTTCATCATTGACAACTTGCACTATTAAATTATTAAATTCATCATCTATAAATGTTACAGTATCAAGCTTACTATTACTTTCTTGATTTTGGTGTAATTGATTAGTATTTGTTGTTTGTGATTTGTCAGCATTTTTGTGCTCTGGTCGGGAGCATAGAAAAGGACTTTTCGACCACATTAATTTCCCTAGACGTCTTGGTGATTTATATCGACGAAATTCAATAAAATCTAGTCCTAGAAAATATTTAACCAACATCTAACGTTTTTTTCCTGCTTAACACTCATAGTTCTAGGTTTACCTTTTTTGATGAACTCATTCCAAGGCCGTGTATTAGTTGTTACATGATAGTTGTATTTAGGATCGTCTAAAATGAGTAATTTATTTTCATTTGTTATCATGCTACAGTCTATCTTAGAACTCTGTATATTTACTTTGTTTTTCATCTAAAAACCAACCATATTTATTGATAGGACGTTTCAATATTATTTGAATTAATGTTTTATTTTGTGTAAGGTCTAAAGTATTATTCATCCCAATGCAGATATATTGGATTTTAGCCTTCTTCTTAAAGTGCTCTTTGATTGTTTTCATCAATTCAATTTCTAATAGTGCAAAACAAATAAGAAGAGAAAAATACATTCGTTTTTTTCTAATATCGACATTTTGATCAATATCATCAGATTCTTACTAGATTTTCGAGTATCGCAACATATGGCAAAGGCTTTTGTTTTCATTCGTGTATCACTCTTTGCACGCTTGAATTATTTGAATTAGTTTCACGGGTATCTTGCAAAAACAAGCTCAAATAAATAAATAAGAATACAATTTAATATTTTTTTTACTATCAATTGTACTATTTTGTATTAGCATGGTTTCATCGTTAGTTGTTGTTTTGTTCAATTCAAGATCTTGTCTTTCATTATCCCCTGTTGATTGTTCTTGTTCTTGAGAAAAACTATCAAGGAGAGCAAGAAATGAAGGACTTAATGGAATGGAATTGAAGTCGATCACATTGAGATTAATTGACGATTCACAGTCATTTGGCTATGAGATATAACATATATATATATATATATATATAGAGAGAGAGAGAGATGAAAAAAAAATGAAGTACATTGAAAGTTTCTGATATGTTTGTACCAATTTGTTCATCAATGTGAATTGAATCAATGTGACAATTGAAGTTATCTATATACAATGTAAAATACGATTACGTATGAAAAGAAAATAGGATCGAATAGGAGCATGATCCAGATTATAGCAATGACTACCTT